CTACAAGGTACCTTGTGTGACTATTTAGTATTTATTTCATTTATATCACAGCTTCCAAGCACAGTCTCAGATTCCCTCAAACACCCCACTTCCTTCCCAAAGGCGCCATCTGTCACCCGGCCCACAGTCCCCTTTTCCGCCTTGCCACTCCCTGAGCCGACTAAAGCCCAGGTTAATTAAGGCCCTTACAGCCTCCACACCAAGCTCTCGCTCTTCTGTCATTTCTCCACGTTAGAGCTGGAAGAGATGCTCTCCTGCCAGCACAGGATCGGGCTTTCTGAACTGCCAATGAAGGGATGATCAGAAATGTTGAGGAGGAAGCTCCCACTGTGGGGAGCCTTGATTAATGAAACACAGAGGACAGGAGGGCGCCTGGCAGGCAAATTCTCCCCCTCCTTCCTCCCTTCTGTGGAGGACTGTGGGGAAAGGTTTTTCCTTTCAAGCCTTCCAGAGAAAGCTTAGCCCTCTGAGCAGACACTTGCCAAACGACCCTGCCAATGAGGAAATCCATTACCTCACATTGCTTTGCAGCTTTCCTTGCTTCACTGCCCTTTTTTTCCCTCACCCTCACTAGTCTGCACATTTCCCAAATAAAACATCAGCACTTTAACCCTTGTATGAGGCTCTGCTTTCCAGAGGACCTAGGTAAGGTACTCAAGCATTTGTTAATAAATTTGGCAGTCATAGGTTTTTTTGTTTTTGTTTTAAGATTTTATTTATTTATTTGTCAGAGAGTGAGCACAGGCAGAGGCAGAGGGAGAAGCAGGCTCCCCGCCGAGCAAGGAGCCTGATGTGGGACTCGATCCCAGGAAGCTGGGATCATGACCTGAGCCGAAGGCAGCCGCTTAACCAACTGAGCCACCCAGGCGTCCCAATCATAGGTTTTTAATTGTTCAACCATGTATACAAAAGTGGGAAATAACAGAGCTCTTCCTGATCTGACATGGAGATCCTACAAATGTTTATACCTTTAGGAATACAGAAATGTCAATTATATTCAAGGTAACAATTTACCAAGAAGTATAGGCTATAGACTTTTGGGTAGGAATTTATTCTCAGGGTTATTTTCATATGACTTGGGAATAGTTTTTGGAGTCTCGGTGTCTTCCATGACCCATTTGTTCAGATAACACTTCCAAGGTTAGACTCACTTTAGCAGACGGTAACAGTTATGCATATTTATGCAGGTTTATATATTGTAGAGAACAAGGCTGATGTTCTTGTGAAAGTTCTCATTTAACACTTTTCCAAATCAGATCTTTTGAACTCATGGTGCATAGTGACCTCTTCCTCTGCAACCTTAGTAAAGGAATTATCTTTGCCTCTGAGATGACTTTTTTAATTTTTTAAAAGATTTTATTTATTTGACAGAAAGAATGTGTACACATGAGCCGGCAGAGGGAAACGAAGAAGAACGTTCCCTGCTGAGCAGGGAGCCCAACAAGGGGCTTGATCCCAGGACCCTGGGATCATGACCCGAGCTGAAAGACACTTAACCAAAATGAGCCACCCAGGTGCCCGAGATGACTTTTTTTTTTTTTTTTTGAAGATTTTATTTATTTATTTGACAGAGATCAGAAGTAGGCAGAGAGGCAGGCAGAGAGAGAGAGGAGGAAGCAGGCTTCCCGCTGAGCAGAGAGCCCGATGCGGGGCTCGATCCCAGGACCCTGGGATCACGACCTGAGCCAAAGGCAGACACTTTAACCCACCGAGCCACCCAGGCACCCCAACCAAGATGACTTTTTAAGAACAGTAAAATTCATCCTTTTTTAGTGTATAGTTCAGTGAGTTTTAACAAATGCACTGTTTTATAATGACTACCACAACTGAGAACCTTGCCATCACCCCCAAAACTTTCCTCATGTTATTTTGTAAGTAACTGTTCCCACCAACCCCATACCCTGGCAACCACTGATCGGTTTTTGGTCTGTATTTTTGCCTTTTTCAGAATGTCATGAGTTTAATCACATAGTATATAGCCTTATGGGTGTGATTTCTTTTATTTAGCATAATGCTTTTGAGATCCATCTATGTCACCGAAGGGGATCAACATTCGATTCCCTTTTTGTTGCTGAGTTAGCATTCTGTTGTGTGGATAGACCACCGTTTGTTTATCCATCTACCAGGTGACACTTCCAGTTTTTGACTTTTAAACAAAGTTGTTATAATCATTTGTATACAGGTTTTTGTGTGAACAGAGGTGTTTATTTCCCTTGGAGTGAGATTGCTGCTATGAGGTAACTGTTATGTAATTTTGTAAGAAACTGCCAAATGTCTCCCAAATGGCTGAACTATTTTTCATCCCCATCAACAGGGTATAAGAGTTCCAGTTGCTCACATCCTTACTAGCACTTAGTATCCTCAATTTTTTTTTTAATTGTACCTATTCTAATACTGGTGTATTTTTGTCTCATCGTGATTTTTAAAAGTTTGAGGGGGCACCCTCATGGCTCAGTCAGTTAAGCATGTGACTCTTGATTTCGGCTCAGATCATGGTCTCAGGGTCATGAGATCAAACCACGTGTCAGGCTCCATGCTGCGCACGTAGACTGCTTAACATCCTCTCTCCTTTTCCTTCTGCCCCTCCCCACCTTCCTCCCAAAAACTAAATAAAAGTTTGAGACATAATTGACATGATATACTGTATGTTTTTAAATGTACAATTTGATACTTTCGGCATGTATACAACCATGAAACCATTGCCACAATTAAGACAGAACATACCTGTTACCCCCAAAGTTTCCTTGTGCTGTTTTGTAATTCCCTTTTTCCACCCAAGGCCCCCATCTAAGCAACCACTGATCTGCTTTGTGTCACTGTAGTCTTATGTAAGTGGAATCATACAAAATGTACTATTTTAATGTCTGGCCTTTTTTATTGAGCGTGATTATTTTGAGATTCATCCATGTTACTCTATGTGACAACAGTTGGTTCCTTTTTATTGCCAAATTGTAGTCCATTGTATGGATATATGATTTGCTTATCTATTCACTTGATGAACATTATGGTGGTTTCCAGCTGTGGATGGTTACAAATACGCTGCTAAAAACTGAGCTGCTTTTTAAAAATGTCTATTTTTAATCAGCTTTTTTGAGGTATAATTTATCATCTATAAAATATACTTTTAAAGTGCATAGTATGATGAATTTTTACAAATTCCTACTCCCTATGTAACTAACACATCAAGATCTAGAACATTGGCTTCATGGCAAAGATTCCCTTGGGGTTTTTTCCAGGCTCCTCTCTCACTCCCCCATTCCCAGCAATCTTTTGCTTTCCAGTCACTCTAAAATAAATTTGTAATTCCTAGAGTTTTGTAGAAAAGGGATCATACAGTAATAAATTCTAGTGTTTTTTTTCTGAGTATGTTTTGTGAGTCATCCATGTTGTAAGTATTGTCAAGTATCAGTAATTCATTCCTTTTTGTTAATGATAATAATAATGCTGTATCCCATTGTATGAATTTACCACAATTTGCTTATCCACTGACATGTTGTTGGGCATTGGGTTGTTTCCAGTCTTTCGCTGTTAAAAGTTGCTGTGAACATTCATGTACAGGCCTTTGTATGTACATGTTTTCATTTTTCCTGGTAAATGCCAAGGAATGAAATTGCTGAGTACAGTAAATACACATTTGATTTACTAAGAAACAGCCACTCTTTTCTAAAGTGGTTGTACTATTTTATAAAAGTCAAACCAGCAATACCGATTGTGTCTGACAACACATATTAACAGTTTTTAAAATTTTAGTTATGTGGGTGTGTAGTAGTAGTTCCTTATGTTTTAAATTTGCATTATTCTGCTATGATGTTGAGCATCTTATGTGTTTATTGGCCTGATTCATGTATCTTTTATAAAGTGTTCAAATATGTCACCCATTCATAATTAGGTTGTTTTCTCTGAGTTATAGGCGTTCTTTATATAGTCTGAATACCAATCTTTGGTCAGAATATCTTTTTCACATATACATTCCCACGTATTCAAGCCAAAGGGTACTCTTTGCTACCCCTTAAATAGGGGAAGGCCTTTGTGTCTCAGAGCCTTTGAACTCTGTATTGGCTGGAATGCTGTTCTCCCAGATCATACAGCTTGCTTCCAGACCTCCTCCAGTCACTTTCTGGTGAGATCTTAACCATCCTATTTGAAATAGTAATACCCACGGCCAGGCATTCCTCCCTTTTTCCTAGCTTTTTTTCTCCATAGCACATACCCACCCGACAGCTGTATTTGTTATTTACCTGTGTAAATGTACCTGTTTAAAGAAAAGTGCTGTCCAAGAAGAGCTCCAACCATAAACATGGAAAATAATTCTCTGCAACCTGTTTAGAGGATTACTTCCTCTCTTGGAGGCTGATACACTCTTACGGATGAGAAATTTCTGAGCCTGCTAGATGCAGGAAGAGGTTCATTTCATCAGTGTCCTGCCACCTATCTTTTAAGTACCGGAGGCAAATCTGTCCATTCCCTCTCCCTAGGAGACCCTCCCTAAATGACCGACCGCACCGAGAGCAAGAAGGGAATGAGTCCCGCCTACCCCGCAGAGAACAGTAGCGGAGACGAAGGAGCTCATCCTGGCTAACACTGTTCTTTGCACTGGAAGAAACCTACGTCTCGCCCAACACGCGTCGGAGAGAAGGCCGAGACTCGGCACTGAAACCTCAGCGTCCAGTCCCTGGGTCCTTAGCGTCCCCGTCGCCGGAAGTGACGGACAGGGCCCCCAGTCACTCGGCGTCCGAGACAGCTCACACTGGGGAAGAAGCGTGTCGGGAGGGGCGGACGCCGCCTCGGCCCGGCTTCCGGAAAGTGAGGGCTTTGTTTCCAAGGGGAAGGTTTTCCAAGAGGACCGGAAGCGCGAGCGTGTGGGTCCTCTCTGGGTAGGAAGGCCAGCCCCGGAAACGCTGCCCGGCAGGGGCAGGCACCTGCTCACTGACGTCCTGAAAAGGGCGTCGAAGCGCGTCTAAGAGGGACCAGACCTGGGGCTTTGGGCGCCTTGGTAAATGGACTCTTAACGGCAAGTGGGAGAGAAGAAGGAGTCAGGGCTCTGCCGGTCGGGGGCGCAGAGCGGGGAGAGAGCCCGAGCACCGGAAGCCGGGGAGGCCGTGGCGGCGGCGGCCGATAGAGTGTGGGCCCCGCACGCCTGCGAGCGGAGGGAGCGACGGCCCGGAGTGGCGGGCTGGGGCTTTATCGCACGAGCAGCCTAAGGACCCGCTGTGGCTTACTTTTTGAGGGGATCGCTCTTTCTGCCGGCTGGAGGGCGGGAACTGCGAGGCGACAGTCCCTGGAAGGCCACAGCCATAGATGAGGGAGAGGTGCTGCTGGGGGCGGTGGGTATAGGCGAGAAGTGGACGGGTCAGAGGGATACCTAAGAGGTAGAATCGTCAGGACTGTGGATTAACTATGGGGTAGGTGTTCGGGGATGATTCCAAGTTTCTGGCCTAAGTGAGGGAATTTATTTTGACCTTGGCCAGGGGTCCTTTTTTCCCTAGTGTTAAAACATAAACAGCGAAGAGGTTTTTTTCTCTGCTGATTATATGTATTACTATTTTGTGTGCTCACTGTAGAAAATTCAGAACGGACATCTTTTTTAAATAGAAGGTAAAAATTACCAATATTCCTACCACCCGAGATGGCCATATTTTGGTGTGTTTCATGTTTTTGTTTTCTGTGTGCATCTTTTTTGTGAAATTGGGAATATATTCATTATTTTTTTCTGTAGCTTTTTCCTCCCATTGGACATTCCCATGACAATGAAGATTGAACTGCGGTGTGCCAAGATATGATCCACACAGTATGTTTTTCCTAATAAAAACTCAGATGTCATTCCACCGTCAGAACTTTTTGGTTTATTTTCCTTTCAGTATTTTTTATGCACTTTTTTGAGAAGTCCACTATTTATGCTACATTTTAGGTTTTGTTTTTCAATCATATGTTTTTAATCAATGTTATTTATTGCTGTTTTCACACATCCTTAACTGCTTTTCGGGACTATAGTTTTTAATGGTTGTTTAGTCGCAACAAATTCTGTTATTAGCTAATTTTTCAACTTTTTGCTATTAGGATGATGAGAGGGACATCTAGTTTACATAAATTTTCAGGTTTTTGGTTTATTCTTTGAAAAGAGTCGTAGAAATGGAACCGACCAAGTAAAAGGATAAAATGAATTTATCAAATTGCCTCATCCAAATATCTCACTAAGACTTTGATTGACATTGTTTTAAAGGTCATATTTTTGCAATACTTTATCAATTCAAAGATATGGTTGTCTTTCTGGTTAGTCAAGTTCTTGTCTTTTATGTTTCTTTTATGTCTTTGTCCTTTCCTTATTAAACTTATGTGTAAGAAAGGGCCAGTAATTGATCTTTTTTTCTTTTTCTTTGTTTAGTGATTGTACCCTCTCTGTTCAGATGTCATATATGAAATGAGTATCTTTGAGTCAGGTGTCAAACTTTCTTCAATAAAATTTTCTTAATATTTGTGTCTAGGTTCTGCTAAAATTACATATAATGGTAAGCCCAGGAAGCTAAAAAGGCTAAGTTGGCATGAGGTTTTACTAATAGCATCAGCAACCTCTTGTCTAACAAATTCCTGACATTCTGCTCCTACCTGGCTATTAGAGAAGCTTCCCCTCAGCCATGCATCAGATCTTGTCTGTACAACAAGGAAACCAGGCAATAACCTTGATCCTTTCTGAAGAATGGTAAAGGAAGCTAGAAACAACTCAGCGTGGGTGGGAAGACATTCATGAGGATGCCAAATGTGCTTTTGGGGTGGATTCTTCTAGTTTAACAGTTCTGCCATCTTATTAAAGTTATTTTAATTTATTTGTTAGCAAGGCTTTTTTTAGTGAATTATAACATTAACTTTTAAACAAAGTCTTTTGGTCTTTTTGGTTTTATGCAAATAGACTCCTGCTTGTCTATGAAATGCAGTTAACACATCAGCTGGACCTATTTCCCGAATGCAGGGTGACCCTTCTGTTATTTAAAGATGTAAAAAATGCTGGAGACTTGAGAAAAAAGGCCATGGAAGGTGCTATTGATGGTTCACTTATAAACCCTAAGGTGGTGAGTATAAGTGAGACTAGCTGAGCTATAAGGGGGCATTGAAGAGTATGTTAATTTTTCATGATGTTATAGGTTAGCCTAAAACTGTCACCTTTGGGTAAAGAGTTCTCGTCCAAGCTTTGGAGTCAGACTGGGCCAACCTTGAATTTAACAGTAAATAGAAGCCTAAGTGCTGGGAGCTTCCCCCAGGAGATAAGAAAGGTTGTGGTCAGGCTCTGACCTAATGGCAAATTCCTGGATCTTCATCTTCTTGTCTGAACTAGAAAAAAATCTCTGCACAGGATTTGAAGGGCACATGCACCCAAATGTTTATAGCAGCAGTGTCCACAATAGCCAAAATATTAAAAGAGCCCAGATGTCCATCGACAGATAAAGAAGATGTGGTGTATATATACAATGGAATAGTACTTAGCCATCAAAAAAGAATGAACTCTTGCCATTTGCAGCAACATGGGTGGAACTAGAGGGTATTATGGTAAGCGAAAGAATTCTGTCAGAGGAAGACGAATACCATATGATTTCACTCATGTAGAATGTAAGAAAACATGAATATAGGGGAAGGGAAGGAAAAATAATGAAAATAGAGAGGGAGGCAAAACATAAGATGTTGAACTCTAGGAAACAAACAGGGTTGCTGGAGGGGAGGAGGGTGTAGGGATGGGGTAACTAGGTGATGGGCATTTGAGGTAATGAGCACTGGGTGTTATATGTAAGTGATGAATCCCTGAATTATACCCCTGAAACTAATAATATACTATATGTAAACTAAATTGAATTTAAAGAAAGGATTTAAAAAATAAATAAAAATTTTAAAAAGCTGTTAGTTGGGGGGGGGGGGGAATCTCTGCACAGGAGACAGGTATAGTGGTTAAGAGGCCACACTGTGGAAACACAGCAGCAGAATTTAATCCCAGCTCTGCCATTACAACTTTAAGCAGGTGGTGGCCAACCTTCGGAGTGTGCTTACTCTGTTCCTTTCCATATACCAGCTCAGTCTTCACAACAACCTTATGAAATAAATACTATGACTATCTGTATCTAACAGATAAAACAGGAATTTGCCCAAGTCCCCTCAGTGGTTAAGTGACAGAGCTGGGATTCAAACCCAAACACTCTTTGCTTTGGTTTCCTTATCCACTGCACATGAATAATAATACTGATTTCATAGGGTAGTTTTAAGGATTAAAATATCACACGTAAAATGTTTAGAATATGGCTTTTCCCATGGTATTCTGAACAAATGTTATTTAAAAAATTTTCACTACTTAAGTTTCTTGCAGCTTTTAAAATTCTATGATTTTCTGAACACCCAGCAATTTTGAAAACGTAGTCCACAGAAACTGTGATGAAGTAAAACAGCCTGACATTGAAGTTACCAAAAGCTAAGGCATGCATCTCCAGGGTGCTCCAGACGCTCCATGTGTAATTCTTTCTGTCCTCTTTGGTAGATTGTCGATCCATTTCAGATACTTGTGGCAGCAAACAAAGCAGTTCATCTCTACAAACTGGGAAAAATGAAGACAAGAACTCTACCAACTGAAATTATTTTCAACCTTTCCCCAAATAACAATGTAATTAATATGGATTTCACTTAATTTATTTCTGTTGACCTTGTCATGATATACCATGTGTTCCCTAGTGTTGGGTTGGTGGCTGAATTCCTGTATGCCTATTGTTGGTAACAAAGCAAAATAATAGTTAAGAGAGTTCTGGACAGAATTGAGGTTTAGCACTGCTTCTTACTAGACAAATAAGCTTAGTCCTTTCAGATATGAGTAAAAAGTTAAGCTACATGAAATGAGGACAGTTTTATCTGTCCTTATCATATAAAAGGAGCAGGAAGAGCCCCCTAAATGATATATACATTTAAATGGTAAAACATTAAGCATAGATATTTGTGTGTTATCGTGCACATCTACTCTCCCTATAAACTCCTTGAGGATAGAATCCATGTCTTTTCCATATCCAGAAGTCTTCCGGTTAACGGCCCTTAACACGGGCGCTCTCACACCTCCGGGGCACAGGAAGTTTGTGGTTTGAGGTAATGATGGTAAGTTACTGAGCTAAAGACATTCCATATGTGGCACATTTAAACAATAACAACAAAAAAACCCTGAAAATTTTGCTGATGAAGTTTGAGTATTACTACTACTGTTAACAACACCACCAGCTAATAATAGCATCCAGAGGATAATTGGGAATGCTGCAGCATGATTTAAAATAATGTTTGAAATTTTATAAAATTTATAAAATGCAGGGTAATAGAATTAACTCCTTGGTACCTGGAGAAAAACATTTCCAGATAATTATTTCTTTGAGATCATTTGAAATAACTTGAGAAACTATTCAAGCATCTGTTGGGCTGGTCCCTCTTTTGGCTACAGTTCCAGGGCAGGAGAAAGAAATATGTTCCTGAGGAAGGCAGGGAAACGACAGAAATCCAACTGCTCTAAGATAAATGATATATTGGGAATAATAAGTCAAACCTATGGGAACAGCAAGGAAGCAACTCCTGTAAGGAGTGGGCTGCAGCGGGGAGTGCCATGTGCACTGGACGGTGAAGGATGAGGCACTCCAGACAGGAGGAGGAAAAGTGTGAAATGATAGGACCCCCACAGTCCAGGCTGTCTAGAAGGTAGGCGTGCATGGCTGGAGGGTCACTGGGGATCAGAAGGAGGGGTGTTTGTGTGCCATGCCAAGAATGGGCTTGCCTGTGCAGTAAGGAGGGGTACCTGTGAGCGGAGAGTGTGCTAGAGGCATAGCTGGCGGGTGTTAGGAAGGGCTGTTGAAGAGAAACACTGTAGGTGGAGAGAACCATTTGGAAATGTAAAATAACCCCCAGCCAGAGAAGGAGGCTGATAGGGAGATGTTTCAGACACAGAAACTACTAGTATATTATCTTGCCTTTTTTTTCCCCCTTAGATTTCAGAAGCTTTGAAAAAATTTGGTATCTCAGCAAATGACACTTCAATTCTAATTGTTTATATTGAAGAGGGAGAAAAACAAATAAATCAAGAAGACCTAGTATCTCAGGTTGAAGGTCATCAGATTTCTCTGAAAAACCTTCCCGACATAACAAATATTACAGAAGTCAAAAAGGTTTGTAAATCTGTATTTTTAGAAAGAGTGATGAAGAGGGGTGCCTGGGTGGCTCAGTGGGTTAAAGCCTCTGCCTTCAGCTCAGGTCATGATCCCGGGGTCCTGGGATTAAGCCCCGCATTGGGCTCTCTGCTCGGCAGGGAGCCTGCTTCCTCCTCTTGCTCTGCCTGCCTCTCTGCCTAATTGTGATCTTTGTCAAATACATAAATAAAATCTTTTGAGAAAAAAAAAAGAGTAAGGAAAAATAAAACCAATGCTGTTTGCTTATTGATCACCAATGCTTGTTTTATTTTTTTTAAGAAAGGTTAATGTAATTAAAAACTACTTGAAAATAATTATAGAGGCTAAAAATTAGAAGGTGCAGGTTTATGTAAAATATAGTTAGAAATTTAGTTGATAAAAGCATTCTCTAAATACATTCTATATTTTATATTTCAAATGCACTGTGTAAGCTTGATTTTTTTTTAATATTTTATTTATTTTGAGAGAGCACAGAGCAAGAGAGGGAGCTCAAGCAGGGGAAGGGAGAGGGGCAGAAGGAGAAGCAGATTCCCAGCTGAGCAGGAGGCCGTATGCAGATGCAGATGTAGGGGTTGATCTCAGGACCCTGGGATCATGACCTGAGCTACCCAGGCTCCCCTGTGTAAGCTTGATCTTTAATGTCTAGATACACACTTTTAAAATTGGTACAGATTTGGTTTCTGTGTTTAGAGGGTTAATCACCATAACTGCAATTTAAAGGGAACTTTTGACTTAAATGATGAGTTGCCATCTACTTTGCATATTTTAATCACGTTTGTGATTTGTGATTTCATGCCATTATCCCAGTAGATGAATAAAAATTTCATTTATACATGTTTGTATGATGAAAATGAATAGTGCATGAATATATTAGCATGCCATAATTTGTCTTCTATCTTTACAGATATATAAACTGTCTTCACAAGAAGAAAGTATTGGAACATTATTGGATGGTATCATTTGTAGAATGTCAACAAAAGATGTTTTGTGAAGTGACAAATATTAAAAATTTTCAGCATTTATTAAAAAAACATGGATTTTTCTGTCTTATATATGTTCAGTTGTAGAAAACACAGAATGTTACAACAAAGAAAAAAAGCCACTACTGTCTTCTCTTTTAATATTTTAAAAGATAGCCACTGTTGCTATTATGTGTTCTTGTCTTCTAGTCTGTTTCTATTCAAATATATTTCATCTTTATGTAATTGGAATAATTGGGCATTTACTAGGTTCTTGCCTTAGTGATTTTATATTCATCAGTTCATATCCCCGCCCTTCTGGCTACTCTGGCATTTCCCTTCCAAGCGTCCTGGTTCCAAGGGTTTTACATACAAGAATTCATTCATCATAGGTAAATAGTAGTATAACCACCATTTTACACACACGGCAACTAAAAGATTATACAAATAAGTGACTTGCTCAAGGTCATACAGCTAGTATTAAGTCATGTTTTATAGATGGTTTGGGTTTTCTTTTCTCACTATGTCTTCTATTTTGATTGTAGCAGTTAAGACTGCCTTGGTTAAGGGTCAGCAAACTTCTGTGAAGGGCCAGATAGTAAGTATTTTCAGCTTTGCAGGCCATAAGGTCTCTGTTGCATCCACTCAACTCTTGCTGTCATAGTATCCATAGGCCATAAATGATGAGTATGGCTGTGTTTCAACAAAACTCAATCGACAAAAATAAATGGTGGGCAAGATTTGACCTGTGGCCATACTTTGTGGACTTCTGGGTTAGATTAGGCTTCAGTTACAGTCCCTAAAGCTCACTGGCAAAAGTCTGTGTCATCCTCAGTCTGCATAGCCAGTGTGAAGCAGTAAACACAAGGGGCAGTGACTCAAACCGGGTCTGCTTATCTCACGTTTCATGGTCCAAAGCCAGTCATGTGGTCCTGCCAACCACATAAGGGACAGAGAAGTATGATCCTTCCACATGCTGGAAAGTAGGAAGGTGGAAATACTTAGTGATTTCTATCATGGTCATAAATAAGCATAGGGACATCACTGACATTTCTTGTCTGTAGTGTGCTTAGCATTTTATATGTACTACCTCATTTAGTCCTACTACAATCTGGAGAGATTTTTACCAGCGAGGAAACAGATCTAATCTCTGAAGTCTATTTCAAAAAGTTTCAAACCTAAAGAACAATTAACAATTATAAAGGAAAAGTCCATGTACCTTTCATGTGAATTTACTATTTGTTCTTAACACTTTGCTACATTTGTTTGCTCTTGCCTCTTGCTCTCCTATCTGCCTGTCTGTGCTCAGGTGTGTACAATACACACACACACACACACACACACACGCTGAATGATCTGAATGTAAGTTACAGACCTGGCACTCCAGCCTACACAGTGTTTAGTTGTTATATCTCCTTTCATCTACAGTAAACCTTTTAAGAGTAATGTTGACATTTTTTGAAGAGCACCTTTCAGAATTTCACACTATCTGGATTTGTTCATGATTTACATCAGCTTAAATATTTTTGGAAGTAATCTTGGGTCCTTGCCATTGCGTGTCACCACGCAATGTCCGTTGGCCCCATCATTAGTGATAAAAGTTTGATCCCTTGGTTAAGATGGTGCCTTCCCCAGACGTCTCCATTACAAAGGCATCTCTTTCCCTGACAGAGCGTTTCAGCTGCCCGGGACTAATAGTCTGATCCCAATAACCCCAGGCCCCATGCTCTGAACACCTCCGTGGCATGGCTCCTCCCATGCCCCATGCCGTCACTCACTTTCTTTGTATTGACAAGGTACATGTAACATACCTAGTCTCTTCTTACACATTATACTGCTTTCAATGTTTCACTTTTGCAATAAATCTTTGTACATGTTTTTCTTTCGGATAGTTTCTCTAAAGTAGAATTTTTGGGGATAAGCAGTTGTACTCATTAGAGAACTTTCAGAGCAGAAAGATGCCCTTCTGCCCTACCTACTGCAGCCACTTCCCTGCTCTGGTTTACTAATGGCAACCACTCTGCACTCACATCACAATATAAGCATAACCTAGTCTGGTTGGTCTCAGAATGAAGTTTGTATTCATCAAATTTGCCTGTTAGTGATGTTTTTATAGTCCTTTCTGCCACTAACCTTCCATGTTCCCTTGTAGATCAATCCTTCCAATACCCCTGTTCTGGGAGGCGGACCTATATGGCAGCAAGAGGACTCTTCTCCTTGGCTTCTGCTTAGGTTTGGCCAAGTAGGTGACCCGCAGGAGACTGGAAAAGGGAAGACAGTGTGAGGCCAGCATATTTATTCTCTTGACCCCCTCCCTGCAAGGTCATGTGAGCTGGCTTTGTCCCCGAACCTTTCAACTCCTGAGTCAGGTTTCTGTCATCTCTCCCTCCCACCTCGCTTCAGGCCTCCTGGGCAATACACCTTGTTCTTGTACCATCCTCGGTCCCTCTCTACCCACCCATACCTTCAGAATTAGTCCCTTTGATCATCTGCATGAAATCTGCTGGCGTTACCCTAATTTGGAGTGCCCTAATTTGAGTTACCCTAATTTGAGAGAGTGCCTGATACTCTCTCACTCTCTCAGACAATTAGTTGTAAGATTACAGAACATCTCTGTGGAGCTGGAATCATAGTTCTAGGATTCCTGAACATCTTACTAAGGATGACCCACCCACCTACTTCTTTCCCCTTGAAAGGACTTGCCACGATTTTCTTCCACTCATCTTCTCTAAATAATGAGCTCTCAGTAGAAGTTCAGGGCATTGGTCTGACACTGGGTTATGGGGAGCCCTGATGAGAGATTAGAGGAGAATTTAAGGAATTTAAGTTAAATGAAACTGAATTGATGTTCTCTTCTCCCTGAGATTTCCAAAATGTAATGCCATTTATGAACTGTCCATCTCACTGGTCCATTTCTGGGCTGCGCTCGTGCAGTAGGGAATATTTTTCAAAGATATAAGTGTGGTGTTTTAATGACTTTTTCCTCTTAAATCCACAACCTTTGGTCTAATGGTGATTCTACGAGGCCTCAGGTAGGAGATCTCAGCTTTTCTGGCCTTGGTTTCCCATTTGTAAGTGGGGACATTGATACCAACCTTAGTTCTTAGATTGTCATGAATATCAAACAGAGCCTAGGAAAAGAGATTCCTCACAGTGTCAGGCATCTGATTTCTCTTTATGTACCAGCCAGTAGTGCTGAGGCAGACAGGAGAATAAAATAGGACTCGTTGCTGGTGGAAAAGTAGAACAGTTCAGCCACTTTGGACAGCAGCATGGCAGTTCCTCGAAAAGTTAAACATAAAATCACCATATGACCCAGAAATTCCACTCCTAGGTATATACCCAATAGAACCAAAAACAGGTGCTCAACCCAAAACGTGTACAACAATGTTCCTAACAGCACAATTCACAATAGCCAAAAGATGGAAACAACCCAAGTGTCCCTCAATGGATGAATGGATGAATGGATAAACAAATGTGGGCTATCTCTACCGTGGAATAGTATGGAGCCATAAAAAGCCATGAGCTACTGATACAAGCTACAACATGGTGAGCCTTAAAAACAAAGTGGAAGAAGCTGAACATAGAATTTCGCTTATCACATGATTCAATTTAAATGAAACATCTAAAAAGCTGGTTAGTTGTTGCCAGGGTCTGGCGAGAGGAGGAAGAGAGAGAGAGACTACGTAGGGGCCAGGGGGATGTTTTTGGGGTGTGAACATGCTTTGGAACCATGTAGAGGTGGTGGCTGCACAACATAGTGAGTGTGCTGAATGCCAATGAATTGTACACACTACACCAGTTAATTAAAATGTGAAATAATAAACACATGTGCCTTACCTTTGGGAGTTCATGATCTTAGCTAAGTGCCTTTAGACTCTCAGATCCAGCTGAGGCAGAGCCAGGTAGATTCCCATGCCTCTGTTTCACCATCTGAAGGCCAGAGCCTGGAGTCTCACCACACCTGAGGTTCCATCATTTGCACAGAGAATGACCCATAAGTCCTCCATCCAGATGCTGCCATCATTTGGTATGATCGTTCAGACTTTTCTCTTTGCATGCTTGCATCTATACATCAGTTTCAAGTTATGGTTTTCCAAAAATGAGTTAAAACCTACTGTTTTATAGTCTTTTTTTTAATGTCAATATATCCTCACATTATCATTGTTCATGGCTGTGAGGAAAGATGAAAAACCTGGAGACCAACCCACTGGGTTTTGAGGAGGCCACAGAACCCAGTGAGAATACAAGGAAGGAGAGCATGGGGACAGATCACAGACCTCTGGACCCTCAGCTTGACTGTTAGGTTTTTGACTGGTTAATATTAGACTTGCTGGGAAAACTCAACTGTACTTTGGAGCCCCTTTGGATTCCTAGTTCAAATTCTGCTTAACACTGAAATGTTTAAATATTAAAATGTATGAAACCAATGTAGCAAATACCCATGGCTCACCCCTCAGATTTAATGTTAAACTCTACCCTTGTGACCTTGCTGGGTGCCAAAGACCTGTCAGCAGTCTCCATCCACTAGGCCTGGGCCCCAGCTGCCAGCCTCTGGTTTCTGACCAGAAGGCTTCAGGATGGTACCACTAGGGGCACCAAGTCTGTCTCTCCTGCATCCTCCAGAGGTTCTTGCCAGAAATGTGGCTGTCATCTCTGACCCCTTCCTCGTCCTCATTCCCATTTGGGTCATTACAAACTCCTGATATTTCTGCCCACAAAACGCACTACAGGTGGGTTCTTACCATCTGGATCGCCTCACTCTGTTCCAAGCCACCACTCACTCTTGTAGGGCCTCTGTTAGCCCACGTGGCTTCTTAGTGAACACAGAACAAGGAAGATATCCCTTTCATACAGACAGCAGTCCACTGGATATGCACAGTCCAGTGGGCAGTGCCGCCTTTGAGCAAATAAGAAAAAGCTCCCCCTTCACCTTTGGCCAGACTCAGGTCTGTGTCAGGGCTCACGGCTTGGTGAGTGGAGTAGGGCTCTATTTCTGTTCCGACGAGTCCTCCTTGCCCGGATGCTCTTGAACAGTGAGCAACCTGCATATCTGTAGCTGGGGGCTCTATTTTCACCTGGACTGGGACACTAGCCTGTGGGGTGGGGACTATGTGGTTCCACTACGGCCTCCTCCCATTCACTCCCCAGATGTAGCCAGAGCAGGCACACGTACACAGAGGCAGGCACACACGTGCACACACAGACCACTATGTTACTCCCCAGTTAAAAGCATATCGCTGGCCTCCTGCCGCTTTTGGAGTAGAGTCCAAACTCCCCAGTTAAAAGCATATCGCTGGCCTCCTGCCGCTTTTGGAGTAGAGTCCAAACTCCGCAAACTGGACGACAAGCCATGCATGCCCAGGCCCCAGCCGACCTCACCACTCCCTCCCTCCCTCGGCCGTGCTGGCCACCCGTCCCCGAACACTTTGCCTTTGACCTGCCTCAGGGTCTTCACGCCTCAGTCCCCTCAGCCCCGGACGCCCTCTCCTCCTCAGCCTCGCCGCGATCTACCCCTCCCTTCGCTCTCACCCTGAGGGTCCTCCCTGGAAGTTCCCGTCACCCCCGCGGCAGCAGGTCCCTCTCCGCGCCGCGCCGCGCGCCTCACGGCTCTAGCCATTGCCGGCCACTGCTGAGGAGCCCCTGGCACGGAAAACCTGGGTGTGCCAGGCCCTCAGCTCCGGCCGGGCCGCCCACATGGCGCTTCTCCCAGACGGGCGTTCCATGACGCTTAACACACAAGCTTGAGGAGGACGAGAGCCCGGCTTCAGGAGCAGTGGAGACTATTAATAGAGGGGGGCCTTGAGGGTGCGTGGGGAGAAGCGCCCGCCATGTTTCCAGGGCGGAAGCGACCCCCCGGACAGCACACATGTGCCACAGAGAAGGGCTTTTCTGTTGAATTTTTCCCCGTTTTAGTTGCTCTCAGTGCAAAATATTTCACAGCTGCACACACCAGGGGCGCGTCATAGCAGTGGCTGTCCCCGGCTTTGTCAGTGTTGTTTAGAGCTGAAGAGGCCGCCAGGCACGCAGTCGTGGCAGCGTACACGACAGTACCTTGAACAAACGAATGAATGAAGATGGAGCCTAGTGAGATGAGGCCGGCGAACTGCAAACGATCAGTTTCCCTCAGACCGGGAAGAGCTAGGCAGGGGGAGAGCACCTTGCCTGCTGAGCCACGGGTCTGGACTCTAGCCTGTGATGACAGCGCAAGGCAGGAGGTGCAGTCCCCAGGCTCCCAGAAGCTGTGTCCCAGAAGGGGCCAGAAGTGGACACAAGGGCATATCGAGGGGCCAACTGCGAGATGCTCCAGGCGCGAACCACCAAGGGAGGAACGTGTAGGCCGTCTGCCAGGGCAAGATCCCCTGAGATGTTCCAGACCCTGCTTCCCCTGGCAGGCTAATTCCCTGGCGATTGCAGAGGTCAGTGGAGAATGGGCTTCCAGTTGCATCATAGCCCAGCCTCTTGATCCTGGGGTTTATGATTATCCAGTGTGCAGAAGCCAGCCAAACAGGTGGCCATCCAGGAAGGGGCTGGTTCCTGGTGGTGGAGGGAACCGTGCACAGTCTTTCCTGGGATTCCAGTCAGAGACTGAGGGCAGAGGCTGTCCTGACACTGCCCTGGACGTTCAAGTCTGTTGTGGTAGCAGGTGAGAGGACTGGGGTTGAAGGCCTCTTTAGAGAGGACTGGAGCCTGGGACCCTGCTCTGGGTATCAAGTCTGGGACTTTTTTGATGTTTGACTCTTTTTTTTTTTTTAAGATTTTATTTATTTATTTAATTAATTTATTTGGAAGAAAGAGCACCATCGGGGAGAGGCAGAGGGAGAGAGAGTAGCAGGAGAAGCAGGCTCCCTGCTGAGTGGGGAACCTGACATGGGACTCGATCCCAGGATTCTGAGATCATGACCTGAGCTGAAGGCAGATGCTTAACCAACCAAGCTACCCAGGCGCCCTCATGTTTGACTCTTATGCCACCTCAGCAGCCTAAAAATTTGCAGTCAAGGGGGAAGGAGCCTTTGTTGAAACTCTTACTTGGGGGCTGCTGGGGAGGCTGTTTCCTACATCCTCTAGGGCAAAAGCAGAAATCCCCTGAGCAGTGTCTCCCCCACTCCCGGGAGGTGGCAGAGATGGGGCACTTATTTGGCTTCCTTTCTCTTCCCCAGGGCTGCCAAGAAGGTCGCTCACTCTTGTGGACTTTAAGGTTCAGGCACGGCAGTCCTCCATGGCTCCTTACCACATCCGCAAATACCAGGAGAGTGACCGCACACAGGTCCTGGACTTGTTCTTCCATGCACTGGATGAGTATGGCCCTGCCTCCTTCCACCACATCCTAAAGCTGCCCCGAACCTTCGTGCTCTTGCTTGGGGTGTCCCTCGGCCTCCTCCTGGTCTCTGGCTCCTGGCTGCTGGCCCTCATAGCCAGCCCCACCCTCCTCACTGCTCTGAGATTCCTCTGCAAATACCCCTGGACCAAGTTTACAGCCGAGTGCTTGCGCACAGACATGTCCAACATCACCAAGTCCTACTTGAGTGAGCCCGGCTCCTGCTTCTGGGTGGCTGAGGCTGAGGGGCAGGTGGTGGGCATCGTGGGGGCGCTGCCTGTCAAGGAGCACTCCCTGCACAAGGAGCAGTTGGAGCTGCTGCACCTGTGCGTGGCCTTGGATCACCGACGTCAGGGGATAGCGAAAGCCCTGGTCAGGACCGTCCTCCAGTTCGCGTGTGACCAGGGCTACGGCCAAGTCGTCCTCACCACCAGCATGCTGCAGCACTCGGCCTTGGCCCTCTACCAGCGCATGGGCTTCCAGAAGTTGCATCAGTTCTCCCCCCTGTGCTGGAGGCTGCTTACTGTTCCTTTGGTTACGTTTGTCTACTACCTGCCCTCTGCTCAGGCCTCGTGGGCACATGAGTAGGAAGGTGGCCCACGATCCTTTTCCTGGTGGCTTAGGAGAGGGCCGGCTCTACTGAGGTAGCAAGCAAACCCCAAAGTCTCAGTGTGATGGCACCGTGAGAGCTTACTGTTCCTTCCGTGGGAACCAGGGGGGTGGTGGGGGGTGGCTCTGTTCCTTTCTGTCTTTTGGGGTGGCTGCTGTTTGATTTATCTAGCTCCACGGGAAGACTGCATTAAAACAAATGAATAAAACAAATACGCACAAATAAACGTTTCTTTAGTTCACTTGTCCACCATCAGCAATTTAGGCTGGACTTGTCCAGCAGCACCTTGGTCTCCTACAACCTAATTTGCACATTGTCGTGGGGTCAGCTGGAGGGACAGGGCGACCGGGACGGCTCATCTTCCAGCACGCGAACTCAGTTGTGGTGTTAAGCTAACCGCAGAGGAGCAAAAAGTGAAGCAGAGACAAGCAAATGCTTTTCCGAGCTTCTCGGGTATCACATCGGCTGACATCCCAGACTCGGGAAGAGAAATGGGCTCTGCCTCTTTAGTGAGAGGAACTGAAATCACATAGCAAAGGGTGCCAAGAAAGAGAGCAAGAAGAATCCTGGGAGAAGGACTGGGGCCCACAATGCCATCAGCCTGCTTTGGCCCCCACCCACTGTGTCCGCTGAAAGGGAAGGCAGCCTGGGACAGGGAGTGGCATTTCAATGCCAGCTAGACCTAGAAGTGGTGCGGCCCCTACCGCGCTGGCCAGGCCCCAGTCACATAACCCTAACATGCCTGAGGGGAGGCTGGAATTGTGTGTGTCTGGGAAGAGGATATGGGATTGGTGAGTTTCCCAGACTTGCAACACCTGGCACCCTGCCTCTTGTCCCAGTGCTCAGAGACTCCAGATTTTTACAGAAACCTCAGGCCTGACCTTTTTGTCCCTAAGCCTCTGATACAGTGGCAGTGTGGTGTGTGCCCCACTGTGCACCTTGTCCAGTCAGGTCACCACAGGCACCAGGTTTCCTGACCCAGATGCCGAGTCCCAGGATGACCCAGGAAGGTCAGGCACCCTTTCAGTCTGGGTCTTGTGACATACCCCCATCTTGGCAGTATGCCTGCTCATAGCTTCTCTCCTGTGAAGGATCAGTCAGGTCTCAAACCAGGCCCAAACCTGCCAATTGGCATTGCTGCTGACACATTTCCCCTAAATGGGGACCTTTCATCAAATGCATGGGATGACTGCAAACATTCATGTTTTGTTACCCAAGACTGTGGGCCACAACTCTGCTGCCCTCCGTTGGGCCTCTTTTCTCCCTAACTTTGGGTGACCCACCATCCCTTCTACCAGGCATTCTACCTCTTCCATGCCTGCAGCTTTTGTACCTTTCCTGCATGCTTCTCAGAAGACTGGGCCATCTAAATCTCCTGTTACACTGTGTTCCCCCCTCCCCGCACCTCACTCCATTTTTAAAATGAAGTTTCTGTTTCCTCCCAGCTCCAGCTTCTAGTTAATGGCAGGGCTTTGGGCCCAGCCTCTCTGAGAGGTAGAGAAAGAGGAGGTTCCCACCAGCTGTCCTTGGCCCAAATGGCCTCTCAGGAAGAATTCCCAAGTGGGCTCCAGTTGGTGCTAGAGATGGGGAAGGCCCACAGTGGTCTTGATGCTTTGAAAGTTTTCTTAAGTGACAATTAATTGGTTTGCTAATCCCCATAGACATGGTCCATGCCCTCCAGGAGCTTACAGGCCAGAGCAGCCTGGGAAACCAAGGAGGCAGCAAATTGGAATATGTTGTCATAAGTGTGGGGATGATGGGGGTGCTGGACAAAGAACATCAAAGGGGCACCCACCCTACTGCCTACTGACGGCTTCCCATGAGCCTCTGGTCCCACCTCAGGCAGAGGAAGTCAGGCGACCCCACTGCTCCCTATTGCCTGATCCACGGACGGTGCTCCAACAGCCAGGGACAGAGGCCAGGCCTTTCCTGGAGGCTACACCTTTACTCATATTCTCCAGACCAAATCCACACTCGGTCAGTGGAGTCTGAAGCAGTGCTTTCCTGCAGAGTTCAGGTAAGGGGCCCAAGGCCAGACAAGTGAACGTGACTGTTGATGAATTGGAAGGAGGGTATTTAAGTCAAGACTGTGGGCTAAGGACAGCAGGAAGTTAGGCTGCAGCTTCAGACCAGGCACCAGGTATGAGAGATAAGAAATAAGCTTTGAGACCCAAATGTGGAAGTTCCAAAGCAGGTGACCGAGACAGTTTAGGGGGGTTGCCAAGGGTTGGGGAAAGAAGAAATGGAGAGTGATGGCTGCAGGTTTTCTTTTGGGGCAATGGATATGTTTTGAGTTTCAGTGTAGGTGGTGACTTCACATCCTGAATGTACTAAATGCCACCAAAGTGTACACTTTAAAATTGTTAATTTTATGTTGTATGAAATTCACCTCCAAAAAGTCTTTCGAGATAAAAAAGGAAGAGCTTAGATGGCTCTAAAAACCAAAGGGAGGATACAAAGGTTTGGAGACAGCAGAGATGTTGAGAAGTTGTTGTGGGAGTTACAGCCAGCCATGAGTCTGCTCCGACCAAGCAAAGGATGGGCAAGGTGCCACCTGCAACCCCAAGGCCACTGACAGAGAAGCCTTGAGAACACCTATGGACCTTTCTGTGGAGCAAGAGCTGATGGTTGATGTCTTCCTGAGGAATCTAAAAGTCACAATCAGCGCCTATGGGCCTGGAACTCTGGCAGAGGTGGGATGTTCCTGACTTTGTGTGTGTGTGTTTGAGAGAGAAGGGGGTGGAAGAGGAGAAAGTTCTTTTCCTGAACTGGGCATAAGGGAATGCAGACAGAGGTGAGGCGGTGGGTTTTAGGGAATGGCAAAGTGCAGCTCTGTGATCTGGGCAAAGACCTCTTTGGGCAAGTGTAGGGGACTGATAGTTTTCCAGAAAGTAGGAAGGAGGGAGGGTGAGGTCCAGGATAATTTTAGAGGCCAGTGACTTGGACCCAGCAGTAAAAAATCCTAGAATGCTGACTCCAAACTTCCCTTCACTTTTCTCCAGCTAATAAGTGATTTGTTCAATTTGAAAGATGAGGTTTTATTCAGACCTTGGTCAAGTTTTAAGAACATCAAGGTTTCCTTTTATGTACCAGTGTACTGGTTAAACTAGGGTAAGTTCGTTTTTGGTTTTGCCTGCCAGGCACATGCCTCTTCCGTCTGGCGCGTGCATGTTGGTGCCCGTGTAGGTGGGTACCTGCAGGAAGGTCTGTGCTCCCCTGCTCTGCCCCTGCCTCCCTTTCTCCCTCCTCCTCGTATTTTTAATATTGTGACAAAATATACATTACATAAAGTTGACCATTTTAACAAATTTTAAATATATAGTTCAGTAGCGTTAACTACATTCAGAATGTTGTGCAACTATCATCATTATTTCCAGAACTTTTCAATCCCCCAAAAAGAAACTCCGTAACCATTAAGCAATAATTCCCCTTCACCCCCTCCTCCCAGCCCCTGGTAGCCACCATTCCACCTTCTTTTTATGAATTTGCCTCTAAGTATCTTGTTTAAGTGGAGTCATACAGTAACTGTCCTCTTGTGTGTGGTTTATTTCACTTATCATAATATTTTCAAGATTCATCCATATCGTAGCATACATCAGAATTTCACTACCTTTTGAAGGCTGAGTAATACGGTTTTATACACACACACACACACACACACACACACACACACACACACATTTTGTTCTTCCATTTATCTGTTGATGGACATTAGGGTTGTTTTCACATTTTGACCAGAGTTAATTTTTTTTTAGAAACCATTCAGAAAAAAAATATTTAAGTTACAGTGGGGACATAGTGACTTTTTAACTGGGAGACATTATCAGGGAGGTTAACGAATAAATTTTGCATGTATTATAAACCAGGTGGTTACCTTCTGAACAAAATCAGTATGAAAATGCTCAGCTTTATATACTGGGGATAAGATAGTTTAGATTTTGCTAAAATGGGAAGTTTATTTTAGGAACAACTATGCAGGAAGTGTGGACCTGTGACCAGGTAGCAGGCTGGGGTTTTAAAGCTAGCAGGTGACTGGAGAAGGCGGCATCCTCTTTGAGCATTAGAGGAAATTAAACAGAGCACTGCCTCTGTGGGCCAAGTCACCCGGAGGCTATGGCTAGAGAAAGCCCATAGGAGAGAGCAGAACCTAAAGGTTACTCTCTTCGGTCAATATCTCTCCTCTGGGGGCATTTTAACTCCCTGGGGTGTAAACCAGAGGAGTGGGGACCAGCTGCTTGAAGCAAAAGCCCAGTGAGGTAAAGAAGTGCCTGAGGGATAAAGTGAATAGCCTCATGGCATGTGGGTCTGGGGAACAAAAGGGCAGAGCACCCTGATGGGGGTCTGGGACCAAGCCCTGCTCCTACTAGCAGCCTGGTGGGATTCAGGGGAGCAAGGTTAGGCAGGACAATGAGGTGCCAGTAGAGCTTTCTCCGTGGAGCATTCTGAGAGGTAGAAGGGGGGGGGGGGGGGGGGGGTCTGTTGTCTGATGGGTGCAACATGGAGGAAGGGCCCTTTCTCCCAACCACTGAAGGCATGAGGAGTCTGGATCCTTGATGATGTTGGATAACCTGGGGCATCTTTTGAACTTGAGCTCCAGCTGGATGTGAGGGACTCCAGAGTGGGCATGGGAAGCTGACCTGTGGCCCACACCTACCTCTTGAGGGGCAGACGGTAGGAGGATGAACTGGACAAAGCTGCTGGGGGTTCGGTGCTGCCCACAACAGATTCCTGGCTGGGAGGTCACCCCATCTCTCCAGCTGCCTATACAGCATGCCCTTCATTTTCTTTCTCATTGCATACTTTTCAACTGTTACCTTGTTTTCCTTTCAAATGATTTCAAGTGTATTGTGCCCTCGTTGTTGACAGTATGTAGTTTGTCTATTAAATTGTTTTAGCTTAATTTATCTGCTCTTAGGCTTCCTGACCATTTTTATTTTCCCCCTTCTAAAAAGTTTGTTATATGTATACTACCTTAATT